CTAAGAAACACTGTCAACTGACCAATTATCAGGTAACTTCGTCTTGTGATGCGAATTGTAGGCTATTTTGTTTATGTTCTGACTTTTTAAAAGGATTTTGTAGTGTATTTTGTCCTTGGCTTATCTGTCATGTACATTGAGAAATTTTACCATTTTCTTACACATGGAAACACTTTTCAGGTAACTGGGAGGAGAGATAGGGCAAAACCCTTGCCATTCAAGATGGAAGGGACTGGACCATGGGGTTTTGCCGGTGCAAATGACGGCAATCCAAAAATCAGTGCCAAGTTTGTTGCACCTTGCTACTATTTGAATAAGTAAGTTCATCAGTCGTGCATAGTACTTGGGTTTGCATGCGTTGCCTGTTTGACTATATCTTTTTAGCTTGATGAAGACTGTCTTTTTTGTCTGCAAATTGGAACAGCCTGCAGCACAATTCCACATTGCCAATTTTTTTGGTCATACCATAGTCTCAATTTAGGTGCATTCATGAAGCTTAGGGAGATTTTACAATGCAAGGTTCATGTTTCAAGTCAACAGCAGCTGCAGTTGCAACTCACTTGAAAAATCTCTAGTTCAATATGATTTTTGACATTGCATTTATTTCTATTCACACTTGATGCATCTGTCAACTCAACAATCAATAAATATATTGTGTAGGAGCGGAAAAAAAGTTATGTTCCTCAATACTTTTCTCCATTTAATTTTTTCCCTGTCAAAGCTTCGATTTTTCTTAATTTGATGAACTTCATCAAAGGATCTCTTTTGCCATCTAACTTAAGAAAGACTATCTACTTCAGGATTAAAGCACATTTGATTTTAAATTTCTTAAGGGGTGTTTTTTTCTTGTGGTGTGTGCCTATTATAGTGGATCGGTATACTTCCATATTCATCTTTCAGACATACCTGAATCCGGTTCTCTAGTTTAATTTTTAATTTCATATTTCAGAATTGAGATCGACACAAAGCTCCCTCTCGTGGGTAATCAAAAATGGATAATATGGATATGTTCCTTTAATGTTCCAATGGCACCTGGAAAGACACGCTCAATTGTTTGTAGTGCTCGAAATTTCTTCCAGTTCACAATGCCAGGTCCTGCATGGTGGCAGGTAAGGCTTCATTCTGAAGATGGAATATGTGAAAATGCAGTGACACAAGAAGAATTTAGAACAATGCACATTATTGCCCTAAATTTTGCATACTTGTCTTATTATAACCAAGTAATGGTTTCTTTCTTGCTCGTGAAAGAACAATGCCAATTTTTTTTAAGTAGGTGCATAAAAGGTCAATAGGAGTAATGAGTGGAAGGGTAATGAGGGAGCGAAGACAGACAAACTCCTATGCCTTGTGCAAAGGTGTGAGGGTAGGTAGTTAGGGAGTGGGGGGGGGGGGGGGGGGGG